CGCAGGGGACAGATATGAGATATCCACATCCAAGTGTGGCTTTAAGCCACCTCGTCCCCCGCCGGTGGCCTCCAGCCCCCGTCAGCTCACTCCGACAATAACCCTTCCGCGACCGAAAATAGTTCTTTTTGTTATAAGTAAGTTTTATAGTATAAAATTTTAGTATAAAATAGGTTACCATGGTATATGCCGATTGTATTACCCATAGGCATAAATATAGCATTACATAGGCAAAAACAAGACAAGCGCCAGTGGAGCACTCGGTAAGTTATTAGTAGCACGTTATAGTGTTGCCGGCGTTATATTTGTATGACGGGGGCCCAAGGCCACGTATATAGAATTGTAATAATAGTGTATGCTGGGGGCCTAAGGCCACATATATAGTATTTGTATGACGGAGGCCCAAGGCCACATATATAGTATTTGTATGACGGTAGCCTAAAGCCACCTATACAGAATTGTAATACGTAATAGAATAGTGTATGATGGGGGCCCAAGGCCACATATAGTATTTGTATGGCGGGGGCCTAAGGCCACCTATATAGTATTGTAATAATAGAATAGTGTATGATGGGGGCCCATGGCTACATATATAGTATTTGTATGACGGCGGACCAAGGCCACATATATAGTATTGTAATAATAGAATAGTGTATGAGGGGGGCCCATGGCCACATATATAGTATTTGTATGACGGGGGCCTAAGGCCACCTATATAGAATAGAATTGTAATAATAGTGTATGCTCGGGTCCATGGCCACATATATAGTATTTGTATGACGGGGGCCTAATGCCACCTATAAAGTATTGTAATAATAGAATAGTGTATGGGGGCCCAAGGTCACTTATATAGTATTGGGTAAGAATTGTAATAATAGTGTATGCTGGGGGGCGCAAGGCCACATATATATAGTAGTAGCAGGACACCCGGCGTTGCCTGGGAAATGCAGTACTCAGTTGGTGACTACTTGGTTGAAAGGAAAAGACCCCCACAATCTTCATGGAAATTCTGCATAAATATTTGCTTTCAAACAGGACATTTATATCTTTTGTAACATAGATATACGGGTCAAACAAAGTTGACTTCTTCCAAAATATAGACGAATAATTCTTAGCTAAGGGCTTCATGATAAACAATGTTCTTGGTTTTTTCACCTGGAGCATTTACATAAAGACTGCTGGGGCTGCCAAGTTGCCAACACGTAAACATGCAACATAGATTTGTCCGTGAGAGAAGCAGGGCTCTTTCAACTGCAGTCCAGCCACCTTCAACGGCTGACCCTGGGATTGTTTGATGGACATGGCGAAGCTAAGGCGTATGGGGAATTGGAGTCTTTTGAACTCAAATGGTATATCAGTGGGAATGATGGGGATTCTCGGAATGAATACATCTTCTCCCTTGCCACATCCAGAAAGTATTGTAGCCTCAATAACATGGGGCATAAGCTACTTATATATATATATATATATATCAGGAGCGTATAATGACAAATACGCGTATTTGTGTTAGACGCGTATTGGACGCGTGTTAGACGCGTATTGGTCATAATGACAATGAGCGTATTTGTCATTATACGCTCCTACTATATTATATATATTATATTATATATATATATTTAGTTATTTTATTATTATCTACTCGTATTTCATGCACGTTGGGGATCATTAAGTCGCCCTGTTTATCGAATATTTCGAACCTATCGAAAAAAGTCTGCCAACTCTGGCTAAAGTCGTGCATAGTGAATGTTGTGTTATGACAAAGACATAGGCGCGTGGAACATAATGTATGAATAGTAAGCGCATATGGCGCGCTTGCTACGTAATGCGGGTCAGGACAAGTTTAAATTTATTTCCGCATGCGGCAGGGGTGCGTTGACTTAGCGCTGCTTGCAGGGGATGATTTTCGCACTCATTTTTTTCTGTTTGCAATGTCAGGTGACCGTACTGAGGTCAAATCCATCT